CAAGAACAGTTCTGGGATATGCCATGGGGGTTGGTGAGTGTGGTTTCCCTCCCAGGACAGACTGGGGGCACCACCGCCCGCTGGCCAGAAATCATAACCCAGTGGTGGTGGTGGTGGTGGGGTCGTGCGTTCACGTGCACGTGTGACGCAAATCCCGAGCATCCATGATGGTATTTGGGGGTGTGCATGAAAGGCAGACGCAGAGACAAGGACTTTGGAATTTGGTCTTCACTTGGTTCAAATCTTGACTCTGTATTTCCTTGCTGGGTGATGCTGGACAGATCACTAAACTTCTCACAACTCTGCCTTCTCATCCAAAAGAAAATACAGCTAAATAATAATTGCTGTGGGCAACTTTTAAAAATTGTAATAAAACGTACATCACGACATGGACCATTTTAACCATTTTGTAGTTCGGGGGTGTTCAGTACCTTCCTACGGTTGTGCGACCATTACCACCATCCATCTCCAGAACCTGAGATTAAAAGCATTAAACGTGAAAAAGATTTAGCCCGACGCCTGCCCCAAACTCAGCACTCAGTTGGCGTCGAATCCTTTCACGGTGGGGACATCTGGGTGGACGCGACAGGACCAGATTCATCTGGGCACTTCAGTAGTGCGTGTCAGGGATCTGCAGTAAATGCCGTTTTACCAGCTGCGGATAACTGGGGACGGGGGCAACATTTTGGCTCTAAGTTGGCAGCACATTGGAAGGATTCGTTTTTTTTTTCCTGTATGGGGTCATGGAAATAGTGAGATGTTCCCAGGATTTATGCACGATCTGAGTTTAATATAATTAAAAATAAATATCTAGAAGCAACATTGATGGGTATAATCTCTACGGATCACGGTAAACTCACCTCTGCTGAAACTCTAAGCCAGAGGCTCCCGATGGGGGGTGGTTTGGCAATGTCTGGAGCCGTTTTTACTTGTCCTTGGGTCGGGGTGGGGAGTGTTCCTGGCATCTAGGGGACAGAGGAGGCAAAGGATCCTGTTAAACACCCTATAAGGTGCAGGAGGGCCCACAACAAAGAACTATCCATCCCCAAATGGTGCCATGGTGGGAAAACTCTGCTGTAAACCACTGGAGTTGAAGAAGGGGATGGATCCACTTTAAAGACTCTGCTAATGGATCTCAGAGGCCAGAGAAGGGGCATTTGGGTTTCTACCCAGTAAGGACAAGGGCATTGAGAATGACACTAAAGAGGTTGAGCTGGGCAGGGTCAGGCTTGGCCACAGAAGGGACCATAATGTTGAATGATAATAATAACAGCGAACATGGACTGAGAACATCCTACAAGCCTGGCTCTGTGCTAAGCACAAGGCATCCAGCCAGCCATCTTTAACGCCTTCCTCCCCCAAAGAATTAGTGAGATTTGCAGTCTATTGAGCACTTCTCATGCGACAGGCGAAGAGCCCTTAATTTTCATCCTTTCGTCTAATCTTCACAGCAATGCCTCTGACATATAGTACTGCCACCCGTTTTTACGGATGAGGTTAACTCCCCAAGGTCATGCTACTGCAAAGTGGTCGAGTCGGGCTCCAAGCCCATCTTGTTGATTGGTTTATTTCTTAGGCTTGAAACAGTAGAAATGTGTTCTCTTGCAATTCTGAGGGCCACAAGTCTGAAATAAAGGTGTCCACCGGGTTGGTTCTTTCTGCATGGTATTGCAGGACAATCTGGGTTTGTCTGAGAGTTTGGAGGTTGCCAAGGACATGAAGTATTCCTGATTTGATTAAACGTGATTGTGGGTGTGTCCGTGAGGGTGTTTCTGAATTAGATTAACATTTAATAAGATGTAGTATATGTGTACCATGGAGTTCTACTCAGCCACAAAAAACAA